AGCCGCGGTGCCCGCGCTGCTGCTGCTGCTGCTGCTGTGACTTGGCAGCAAAAAATCCTGTTACGGTTTGGTATCGGATTTTTTTTTCCATGTGTTCGGTGTCCTACGTGCTCACGCGTTCTTTATTTGGAGGCAGCCGGCCGGTCTGCTGGACTCTGTGAGGGTGTGCCTCATAAGGAAAACAACACTTACCTGCGTTGAGCAATTGAAATACTGATTTAGCTTTGTTGATGAGCTCACCATTCTTTTAAACGAGTTTTGGGGTTATTTTTGTAACTTTTTTAGAGTAATGATAATTTAAATCTTAATTTTCTTTGTGTTTCAGGTACACTGTCAGCTGTATTAATGTAACTTTCAGTATTTAAACTCTTGGATTTTTCGTCTCGGGCATAGTATGGTGGTTGATACTTTTGAGCAGATGTTTTTGGTCATATTTTCTTGTCTGTGACTTAATTAAAACCAGCAGTTGCCAAGTACATACAAAAGCTCAGTGTGGTTGACTGTTGCAATGTACTGCTTATCAAGGCACTAAAATACAAAGTAATATGCAAACACTTTGTGCAAAGAATTATTTTTTGTTACATCTGCTTGTTTTCTGTTGGGACCCTCCTGAATTCTGTAGGATTGCTTTAATGCTGGTAAAATAGAAGTGAAATAAAACCTACAGTTCTTTCCAGTGTATGCAAAGCTATTGGCAATATTGCATTTTTTTTCCTTATTTTAAAATTTTAAATGGGAATCCAGTGTTCTGGTTGAGCCATGCTGTATATAAACAGTGTGAGGCCCTGGCTGGGGTGTTCTGGAGTAGCTGTGGCATACAGTGAAACACAGACTGATATTTTTAGTCTATTAACAGGCAATGCTGTATCTTATGAAAACTGTTGAATGCTACATGTATTTCTATGTGCTTTTTAATGGAATTTGTGTTATGTTCAGTTTTGTTAGCCATATGGACTTCTAAATTCTCTTTTAGAGAAACTGAAGGGGAGCGAACACTGAAGAGGTACTGTAGTGCTTCTGCAGAGGGTTGGTTACATGGTGGTGGTTGATACAGTGAAAGAAGCAGGCTGTGGCCGAGAGGTGCCTCTCAGTCCACAGGAGCTGTTCTGGGTCTCGGGACCGTTGTTTTGCTGTTAGGCACTGTGATGTTACCTGTCCAGAAATTCTCACAGTACCAGTGAATTTTCACATGTTGGTGTTTCATATAGACTTCATTTTCGTAATGGTTTTATGGGCTTTTCACACGTATTTACTGGAGGTCAGTCACTGTTTGGATAGGCCTTTCTCTCGCAGCCGGAGGCTGCCTGCCCTGGTGGGAAGGACCGCATGACAGGCCTGGTGTAGCTGCAGAGTGGCCTGTGCCACGACTGCCAAACTTGGAGCAAGTGCCCAGGTCATGTGGAGGGGCAGTGACCAAGCAGCCGTCCTCCTGGGAACACTAGACTTTGCTAGTTGTCCTGAGAACAATGGACTTCACTGGCTGTGCTGTGCTTGGGCAGTCAGTGTTGTGCTTCTGAGAGAGCTGCACAACTGGATCGTGCCTGGACTGTGAGGGACTGAGAGAAAGGCAACAGCAGAAATTGGGCTGCTGGGTTACATAACCACACTCTGAATCGTGCTCCGTTGGTGTGCCCAAATCCTGCCTGGTGTCTGCTCTTGGGGTGGGGCACAGGCTGAATTGGGTGTCTCTGGTGGGCTGGGTGCAGGTGGAGCATTGCTATTGGAGCATTGCATATGCGATGTCTTGATGCTCCCTGAAATGTGACTCTTGCATCTCATTTCTTCTTCTGGTGGACATTGTCGTGGCATATGGCAATAACATTTGCTTTCTTTATGCTCCTGTGTTATGTAGAGTAATGGCTTCTGATGGGAGCGATTTTATTTCTTTTCAAGAAATACATAAGCATGTAACGTTGGCTGAAAATAAAAAAGATGGCCACTTGTAAAAATATCCTTCAATAAAGAGGGGTGACCTGTTGTTCTTGGTGTTCCCAACTTCAAAGCAGCTCACAAGCACCTACACCAAAAGACACTGATACACCTCAAGTAATACTTCGATTTGCCTTTCTTGAAACTTGTTTCAAGTTCCAGAAATAAAGGCTGAGTCGTAAGCTTTAAGGAAAAAAAGAAAATAACAACAAACCCCCAGAATTTTTCTGTCCCTTTGGAAATAGAGAATAAGTTCTATTAACTGCAAAGGAAACTTTTAATTATTCTGACAATTGAAAACACTTTTCAAAAGTAGACCTTGAATCTTTGTAGAGGAAGAAACCTTAGAATGGCCTAATAATTCTGGTGTGTATTTTAAAAGGGACACTAAACCCAGAGTCTTTACATAGTGAAGAACAGATGTCTGTGTTTGAGTTATGGGAGTTGTAGGCCTTGTGGACAGAGTGCATGACTGCATTGTGCTCATTGTTACAGCTCCTGAGTCAGATAGCAGCAGTAGTTTCTCATGTTTGTAGACTAAATGTCTTCTTTTTGTTTGTAGATATGGCTCGTGGACAGCAGAAGATTCAGTCGCAGCAGAAAAATGCCAAAAAGCAAGCTGAGCAAAAAAAGAAACAAGGACATGATCAGAAGGCTGCAGCCAAGGCTGCCTTGATATATACCTGCACTGTCTGTAGGGTAAGAGGAACCGAAGTCAAAATAGTATTGTAGGGAGGTCTGTCTTCCAGCCTAGAGCAGAATTTTTAGAAGATTGTATAGTGGAAACTAAAATACTTAAAGTGGTTGTCGAGCTTGTAGCTATAAGAAGCATTTGCATCTGTTACGTGACTTGCTTACAGATTCAGCTGTACTGATAATTGAGATAGGAGAAAATCAGAGGGCATGTACAGGTCCAGTTTGGGTAGTTATTTTGCCTTTTGTGTTGCAGTGGTCTGTATGTGCTGTTAGTGTGAGATACAAAGTTTGAAAAGTGCGAGATTGCTTCCTGTTCAATCTCCAAAAGGAAACATACTTTTTTTGTGATGGAATTGGCCCATCTTAGAATCACTTGTTACTGATGTTGATGCAGAGAGGAAAAGCGGTGGTGCCAAAAGCTTTAGTGTAAGTTTGATACACAGTAACTTTTGCCAGAATAACTTACTTGACAAGAGAACAGAAATGCAAGCTCTAATCAGATTGTACATTTCCTTCTGGCTGGTTTTCCTGAATGTGCTCGGTTTGGAACTGAAGCATAACTTGCCGTTTTCATTTAAATGGTCAGTCCCAGAATAGATTTGTCACTTTAAATGTCTTAGATAAGATTCCAGATTAAGGGTTGCTCCCTTAAGTACTTGTTGTGAAATCAGGCTGCAGCATCCATCACTTTGGGCAGTGGATGTCTGCAACTGTGTTGTAGCAAAGGTCTGAGATAGCTGGTGCCAAGTAGGGAATCAGTTCGTGCCATATAACTTTTTGGCCTATTGATAAACAAAAGAAATAGCTTTCATAAAGATTTGATTCTGAAAAGGATAAACATTTAAGGTGTTGAAAAAGAAGATAGTAAGGAGGTTTTCCACCAAAGCAACATATGAAGTGTAAGATATGCAGGGAGATACCTAGCAAGAATAGCACCATTGATGGATGTGCCAAAACTGTGTGATAGTAGTGCTTAAAAGCACCTCTGAAAATAGGAGGTTAAATACTCTGTCCTACCCTGCAGCTAAATTAGAGGTGCTTCTGTCACTAGAGCAGTGTCACTGAGGAGACAGTTTGCTTCAGGGAAAAGAAAATAAAACATAGTGGGGAATAGGTTTTGTAGCATTCTTTAACACTTATACTGTGCATAAAGTTTAATGTCTCTCTTTAATCAGACTCAAATGCCGGATCCCAAGACCTTCAAACAGCACTTTGAAAGCAAGCATCCTAAGACTCCACTTCCTCCAGAATTGGCTGATGTTCAGGCGTAAAGTTGTCTACAGGTCATTACCTTAATTTTTAATTTGATTATCTGAGAAAGCTGTATTATGAATCAGTTTTTTTACCACCAACAACTGGGACTTAAAACTTACTTCATTTCTTTTAATATAAAAATTACTGTAGGTTAAAGTTAGACCCCTGAACTGTTGAAAGGAGAAGCAAGAAGCAAGCTAGTACTTACGTGGGTGAAATGGCTGTGGCATTTCAGTGTGCACAGAGGTCATTTTAAAAGGGATTAATGTTATTTCAAATCTTCATTCTTAGTGTTGTAGGAATACTTCATTATTTTGTTCTTGCTTTGAAATGTTAGTTTTGCTTTAAACAAAATACATAAATACAATCTGTCGCTACAAAACATGTAATGGAGACAGTAATTTAGGATATTTCCAACAATTGAGCCTTTTTGTTCTTGATATACAGGTGAATGCAGATTTTTCTGCATTCAAATACAAAACTTAACTGTAGAAGTAGCCAGTTGTTAGGCTGTAACTGAAAGTGGTTATAATAAAAGGCTGAAATGAGTTAAAAAGCAGTATTATGGTATTTCATTCACGCAGAGATAAGCAGCATTGTGTAACGGTTCAGCTTAACTGAGTTGTTCTTGTTTTTTATAGGTGAAGTCATGACACCTATTGACTCTTCTACTGTCAGACCTTACATAACAAACCTGCAGCTGCTTTTCTAAAACTGTTGATCAGCAAAAATGAAGGGGCTACAGAAACATTCATATTTTTATGCTGTTCCCTCTTGGGCTTCTTGAAAAGACAATTCTGTGTAAATGTACAGTTGTGCCCTATTTGGAAATCCTGAAAAATCAGTCCATACTTGTTATAAAAATTTTTTTACAATTGTAATTATATTGATGTTCATATTGTGTAAAATAACTCACTTAATAAAGTAGTACTTTGATTTTACAATATCACAGATTAACTCCTTGTAGAAATTCTGTTTCAACTTTCTGCATTATCTGCCTTATAAAATAATAAAAAAGACAAAAGTGGAATTTTCCCCATCCTGCCAAAACATGAGCAGTATCATTCCACTGAAAGTAATGTACATTACAGTAAATTAAAATGGAAAGGGAAGCTGCTCATATTTACTGTCCAATGTGCTGTCTGCCTGAGCCCAGCCACTAGTGGTCAAGCTGATGGCTCAAGGCACAGCACTTGCCCAAGCAGCTGCATGAGAATCATGAGACTTCCTCCTACATTTTTGTCCTGGGTATTGGAACCTAAATACTGCAAGCCATTTCAAATGGGATTCCTTTATTGTGAGGGATCATATTCCTTTAAGTCATGCACTGGAGAGACTCTGGTTATGCTTTTATCCTTTCTATTTAGGTAGATGACTGAGGAAGCTGAGGGGTGGCAGGTTTGAATGCTTCTGGGTATGCTGACTTGAAAAATGCTTGCAAATACTAGGTTAGAGCAGATCTGCTCTTAGCTGAAAAATGGGTTTGAAAATATTTTTAATGATATTTTGAGCAGTCAACCACACATGTTCCCCCTCAAATCTGTCTGGTTATTTCTCTCTTCAAGAAATACGTAAAGTAGCCAGCCATTAATAACCTTCCTTCACAGCCAGCTTAAAATAAGAGTGTTGGAAAAGAGCCAAAGTAACTAAAATAATATGGCTACTTAAAGAAATCAGATGTGATTAAAGTTGCATTGATAAGAAAAAGCTGGATAATAACTGGCCAAGAACATTTGAGCTGATAAACATAATTATCTTTAAACTGTTCTAGGCTGAGTTCTAATCCCGGATGTACAGCACAGAAGTGGAAAAACATCTGAATTGTGCTAGAAGGTCTGATTTACAAATTTCCATCTTTGGCATTTGGAGGGGGCTTATTTAAGAGCTTTAGTTTTGACCCTGCAGTAAGAAGCAATACTAGAATTGCTGGGATTTGCGAGTTTACAATAGATGTAAAAATTCTGGCAGTCCAACTAACCCTTGCTATGCAGCAGGACTGTACATCTGGCCTTCAAATGGCTTCCTAAAATCTAGGACCATAGTCTCAAAGACTCATTCACTTAAAAGAATGCACTTGGTATTTTATTATATAAAGTCAAAGCCTTTGTCTTCATCCACTCATTTGCTCTTTATTGAACTACTTCTGTGAGACTAGCTTCCTGTCCTCTTTGCTGTGACAGTATCTCTGTAAATACTTACTTTGGCATAAAGTTACTCTGTATTATAGTCACTCTGGGATAACCTGTATACCACTTAACTTTTATAGATAATGTTATTCTCCTCAGCGTAATCCACTACTGCACTTGTACACCTGACATGAGAATGTAACGCTTGATTTATTTTTCTTTAATGTTATCAATACATATATCCCAACAAACTGGCTCCACAAGGCAAGAAATCTGCTCTTGACCTTTGTGCTGTATGGGGGAGAGGTACTGCAATGTTCTAATGCTGTAGTTTGTCTAAGAATACGCTGAGTGCAAATGGATAAAGATGTTTCTTGCGCTGATTGGTATTTGATAATCTGGTTTTACTTTGAAAAATGTTTGGGGATGTATCCCTATAGCTTGGTCCTGAGGTGAAGTATATGTTCTATTCCTTCAATTCAGATTGTGTAGCATTAAATAAAAAGACTTTGTTTCATAAACAATCTCTCTTAATGAGCACTGAAGAGTTGGAAAGCTGCATCAGTAGTGGGATGATTAACTTCAGTTAGAACTGTGTTTTCAAAACTCCATGATGCTCAAGTTGAAAATACCTTATGAAACGATGGGGCTTCTATTATTGGAAGGAAAGCATGATACTTGGTTCAATAAGATCCCTAGCTACAATAGCTGTAATCTCAATTACAGAACTAAATGAAAGCTATGACTGAAATGTTATAAAGGCTGTCCCAAATGTGGGAATAGTCCTCATTTAGAATTATCTGCAATACTCCTTATACCTAAAAGGTCAGTGGAAGGACTAGTTCTCCATCATCTCTTCCTGATCTGGAGGTAACACACCCTGGTACCTGGCTAAAGACACAGTTGTGTGTTGTAATGTGTCTGATTAAAGAGAATTAAAAATGTAAAATGTAAAATGTCGTATTTCCTGCCTGCTTTTAAGATCAAGTATTGCTGCACCTAGAAAATTAATTTCCTGGCTGTGGACAGCCATGGAACTTGAAGCTGTCTAACTGTGCAAGAAAGAAAAAAGGCATGGAAAGCTTCCTGTGTTTCCTTGAGAAAGATTCATCTTTGTGCAGGGTCAGCATTCAGGTAAAGGGGTTTTATGGTGTCAGTATGGACATCAGCTGTCATGGATACTTGTGGAACAACTTTAAAGAGTGATTTTGGATTTTCAGAAGCCCACATCTTCTGGGAATCTCTTTAAGCAGCATCTGAAATCACATTTTAAGCGACACTTAAAATGTTCTGAAAAAATGTCTCACTTTAGATCTTGGAGTAAAAGAAGGTGTGATTATGGTGAAGCCATCTTGGAGACTATTGAATAATCAAGAACAGTTTTGCAATTTTGTTAATCAGACTTACTTAGGCTTGTTTCTTTACGTCTGCTTTACACTGTTGAAGGGCTTCTGGTTTGTTGTTATCAAAAAACTGTGTGAAAGATCTGAAATAAAAGTTGAAGACAGTTGCTGCATAGCCTTAGGGAAATAGTTGGTTTTATACAGCGCTCTTGAAACATCCTTGGAGACTATCCCTTTTAGTTATTTGCTGAAAACACTTCAGCTCAAGTAAGTAAAGCTAATGACCACAGGCTGTTTGCAAACCACATAGTAATGAAGGAATTTGTAGCATTTCTGTAAACTGTATTGAACAGTTTTCCCATCTTGATAAGAAGAGCTATTAAGTGGAATGTCTTTTATCATCAAAAAATGATAGGCTTGAGGTCTGTTTTGTTTCCTATTTTCACAGAAACAAGTTGGGAATTACTGGGCTTTACTAGAAGCCTAGTCTTCCAGGGTCTGACCAGTAAACTAAATTAGTCCTACATAATCCACAAACAAACTAAAGGTCAGCTTGTGTTTCTGTCTACCCAGTCATCTGCTGTGTGTAATTTGGGGGCCTTTGATTTACTTATTTAGAACCTTACAGGTTTTGCAGTGGACTTTGAATTCAGCTCCAAAACTCATGTTTGCACTGCTATTCAGTTTGTGATTTTACATATTCTGTAGCATCATCAGCGATGTTGCTCTAGTTCAAACAGTGGGAGGGTGTGAAGTGCTGTCTGTGGAATTTTACTGTCCATTTTTTAAATTATTTTGAAATCTTTTAATACATTGTCTATTGTGTTACAGTTTTTATATAGATATGGCACAATAGACTCACAACTCTCGAGTTGTGTTATCTTGGTAACTTTAAAAAAAAAGTGGATTAGGTTGCATGCATGTTTTATAATTCTCTTATGTAGCTTTTAGCATTGGGGTTCCTGGGAAAGGAGGAATCTATAGTTGTCCCAACGTGGTTATCTAACAGAAATCTGTTCTGTCTGTGTCTCACTTTTTTCAGGAAATATGGCACAGCTTTCCTTTGAAAAATACTGTCCATTAAATATATAAATTCAAGATCCATGCAGCACTTTGATGGCATGGCAAACGTACATGTGTGTTCCTTCTCTGTAGCTGTTACAAAATTACAGTGTGCAAAATTTACTGAATGCAGGAGGTCTTTCAGAGGAGTATGGATTAACGGAAATCTCAGTAAGTTATCTAGACCATCTCCTTGCTCTGAAATTGGATCAAATCTGCTAAGACTAACTAACAAGCGTTTCTCTAACTCTTAAAGGCTTCCAATGAAAAGGATGACATGACCTTGTAAGCAGCATGCTTAACTGCACAACTGGAGAGTTACCACAGCAAGAGTTTATCCCTGCGAGTTAAGTCAATTGCTTACTGTTCTCATTGGCAATAGATGTGACGAATAGTGCCTTCATTTGAACATTGCTATTGTGTTCTCCTTCTAGTCTTCAAAATAAACCCAGTTAATTGAATCACTCTTCATAGGTCACATAATCTAACTCAAGCAATTGCTGATGCTCTGGATCCTCTCCAGTCTGTGCTCTTAAATTGTATGGTTCAAAATGTGACCCAAAGAGCTGGTTGAGGCTAGTGCAGAGTAGCTGGGACAACTAACCTCTGGCACTTGCATTCTGTTAACATACACTGGAATTATATTAGCCTTTTCGCACCAACATCCTAGATGCATTTTGGTACCACTAATAATCTCCACTGTGTCCCTCTATTTAGTGTCCACTTAGCTCTCTTTAATGGATCTCAGACCAAACTGTTTACAGTTCATCCAGGTGTGGTATCAGGGGGGAGTCTTCCAGATGTACTCTTTTACTCTTTAGTCTGTGTTTTTCATGAACACACGGATGGGATGGATCCCAGGCATAGCCTTGCAGGACCCTGCTTGAGTAACTTCACAGGTTCCCAGTAAGCCTTTGGGAACTGCTTTTTGTGGTCAATATGGGTTGGAGCTCTGTATTTCACCTGTGAGAACTTCACAAACTGACAATGTCAAAGTCCTTTACAACAACAGGGAGATTTGGGATCTTGTGTGCCTGTGGGCACCAGGGTGATTTTCACAAAGAAGGGGATGGATGGTAGTGGGGTACGGCATACTTTATTCCTGACAAATCCTTGTTGTCTGGCTGTTGCTGGGTTACTTTTCCTTATGCGTTTACTAAGAGATTTTTATAAAAATGATTCTAGCCTTTTTTCCAGATTTAGGTTGACTGACAGAGTCCCTTTGTTTTTAAATTCCTTGTGCTTGTCCCACTACTTTCTTGGGCTCTTTTCTATGCTCTATGAGTTCTCAGAGAGCAGCAGTCATGATCTTTAATGATGTGGCTGATTGCTGGAGCATCCTAGCGTAGGAGTAATTAGTTGTTGCCAGCTTGAATTCCATCAAAGTCCTCTGCCTATTTTAGCTTACTCTTTTAACTTCTTAACATATTTAGTTAACTTTTGACTGAAGTAAAAAATACTGTTTATTACTTATTTGTGAATCTTATCTTCTAATTTTTTTTCCCTTCCTCATCAGGTAATGGACCTATACTTAACTTTATCCTTCCATAGATATTTATAGGCTTTGTATCTGCCTTTTAGAACCTCAGCTGTGTTTTTAGACTCTGCTATTGAAGGTGTTACTGTGTTGACTTTTGAGCCATCTAAAACCCAGTCAGTCAGGATCCACACCCTTAAATCTGCAACCATGGAGGCCCACTCTTTGAAAATCCTTTTTGTTTTTTTTACACAGTTTGCCCACTGTGAAGCTGTCAGAAGCTTTATGTACTCCATCCTGATCAGTTCAAGGTCCCAAACGTGCCAGAGCATCTCATTAAAGTTTGAGCTCTGATGAGTATTTACTTACCTGCATGCTGGCAGTGAGAAGGACCAGGCTGGCCTGATAAATCTCCTGAATGTGCCATAGCTGTTATGCTGTATATAAAACTGCATAGCACTAATTAGACTAAATGGTTGAGTGACTCTTCTCCAGACACCACTCTGGCCATTTCTTCCTCTGGTTTTCAAGACTAATCATTGCTGCCTGTCTTTTCCATATGGATGCCAATGCAATCCAACCCCTCACAAGAGTATATTGTGTCTGTCTTCTTTACCCTTAGTTTACTGATAAGAGTGTAATACCCAAGCTGCCTTTGTGTCTTATTTGGTGCTTTGCAAAATGAAAGTATGCTTGGAAAACAAATGCATGTTAATTGCCAGGATACTCACAGGCCATCAGGATAGGCCTTAATTTTTAACTTCTTATTCCTGATGTGCCTTCAAATTCCAGTAGCCATTACCTGCTGATAGTTTTATCGCTCTTTTGTTACATGTTTCTTTAGCTGTAAATGCTCACTGCATATTTTGCAAAAATATGGTTGCTTTATTTTGAATATTTGTAGATCCTTTGAAGAGTGAAAACTAAGTATTTCCAACCAAAGGAATAATTGAAGAATGATGTCTTCTGAAAAAAAAACCCACAAAAGTCTAAAATGTTTGAATGTGTCCTGCTGGTATTCAGAATTATTTTTATGGTCATTACTCACTTTCTGTTACAATAACGCTTAATGCAGTTGCATGTTCTGTTCTTGAAGAATCAGATCAATGCTAGAAGAGAATAATTTTCTTAGTGAGATCTAAGAAATAGTGTTTATTGAGGACCATATTAAGTAAAGTTAAGAAATAGTAAATAGCTGCTTTTTCCTGCTGCAGTAAATCTTTCAAAGAATTTGCTGTTCTGCATCTGAAAGCAAGAGCTGTTATGCAGCTGAAAGAATGTGACAGTGGATCATAATCGCCACTAGCGGAGGAGGACAACTTCTCAGCTTCTGGGCTGCTTTCTAAGTGGACAAAGCCTGCCTGTATTTTTATCAAACAATAATTGAATTGTGCATCACTGAAGTCAGCAGGAACTTAATTTTGTCATGTGCTAAATATTCGCATGCATGTGCAGAAAGCAGCTAGCTTGAACACCTTTGTAAAATCTCTAAATCACATATGTTACTAAAATCAGTGTATTATACTGACGTCTGTATATCAGAAGACAATTTCTGGAGGCAGGGAGATGCTGTATTCTGTCCTAGAAAACATACAGTGCTATACCAAGACAGACTTTACAAATTGTAATTGATAAAAGTTATAGGATTTTCTTGGTCTGTAGTGACTGTCAGTCCTCAAAATTTCTCCTGGTCTTTTATCATAAGCCTTTTGATTGGAAACACTGTGTGGCCAGCATGACTCTGTGGACCTCAGAGAGGCTAGTGCCCCAGGGACAGAGATTTGGATACCACTCTCTTAGACAATTCTGAAATTAATTACCTCTTGCTTGCTCTGTGAGTCCAGGTGTTTTCTCAGGACCCAGACATCTCTGTGTTGTCCCCCCCACTTCCCCACTTGGAATGGGTGAATATGTAGGAGCACAACCATGCAACAATAAAAACGTCCAGTGTAAAGCTACTAAGTGCTAATTCTGCCTTGACTGTGCTGTTTATTTTTAGTCAGGGGCAGCCAGACTTCACCTTTCACTCCCTACAAAGGGACAGAAGCAACCTGGTGCTTTCTGGGCTGCTCTCCTGACTACTGCCACCCTCTCAACATGAGGCTCGTGGAACCACACAAGCAATGTAACTGGTCCTGTCTAACTGGCCCTGGCTAAAACCCTTGGCTAAGGACAGCCAAAACTGCAGAAAGGGAGGTATCTTAAAGGCAATCCTGTTGTTCCTATTTGTGAAAATAGGCAGCTGGGTAGAGAAAATGCTCTCTGTGATTATGGGGCAGGGTGGTGGTTTAGAGCTGCAAAATAACATCCTGCAGTGCTGGGCGCTAGAGAAACACTTGAGAAATGCCTAAACCACAAGACATATTTGCATTGGTGCTTGTATTCCTTTAGTCAGGAAGGAGAACTCACGCTGAAGCACCTAATACTGAGTCCCTTTGCAGAGTATGGGCAAGTGAGCCCCTGGAAGAGTCTGACAAACAGAGGTGCCAGGTTGTGTCTGGGAGCAGGGAAGCAGCAGGGAGTCAGTATTTCTGCAAGAGATCAGCAAACATCTTTCCCTTGATAGCTGCATGAGGAAAGGAGAAGAGGGAAAGGTAGGATTCAGGTTAGAGACTGTAATAACAGTTCACTGTGCA